CCTTCCCGCACAACGGAGCTAGTTTCTGGTGGCAGCTGTGGGTGTTTTTTGTGCTGCCATGGAGAGAAGTGAATCTTAAAGTGCTGACTCAGGACCGGTTCAGACTAAATTCCCATTAGCACCAGTGGGAGACTGGAGCAGAAGGGCTGAGGAGGACCTGATGGTTAACCTGTAAGAGTAACATGAATAAAAACCTCATTTAAAAATCTGCACTAGAAAACCAAGCAGTGCTCCATTTTCCAGTGCCAGATTGACTAAAGCTTTTGAGAAATAGAGTAGTTGTTGAGGAATGAACTAAATAATGCATAAACAGTTATTTTAAAAATAAAACCATGGAAATGTCTTTATTTGCTGTTTACACTGTATCTGAACATATGTATGCATTCACCCGTGGAAGAGCACTGTGCCCAATTCTCTGCTTGCACCTTAGAGCCAAACCAGTTGATCAAATCTGGAAACGGGCTGTTGTTTTCCTTGCTTAGCAGACTGCTAGATCTAGAACAAGTCCCTCTGGTGCCGTGTTGTCTGGTCCTGAGAAGGTTTAAAGATCTGCTTTCTATCCATGTGTTCCAGAAATTGAGAACCCCACCGAGAGAGTGCACCAGATCCAGCAAATCATCGTCACTCTGCCTCGGGCTGTCATCGTCGTCATGAGATACCTTTTTGCTTTCCTTAATCAGTGAGTCTTTTTTTTTTTTAATTCTTTCACTGAGTTTCTCCTTGACCTCCTTTTTTCCAGGGTTTCCCTGTCTCTGTGGCATGAGTCCTTTTTGATATTGCCATGGAGAATTGTGTTTTGCTCCTTCCTCAGCCTTGCCTAGCCATGGCTGTGTGTTCAGGGAAGGTGTACAGCTCACATCGCTGCTTTTTTGGGCGACGGGGGTTTGTTGTGGGAGACTGTTGTGAGCAAACGGGGAAAGTCGACACCGCATCTCCCTAACACTTGTGCTTGCAGCTTGTCGCAGTACAGCGATGAGAACATGATGGATCCCTACAACCTGGCCATCTGCTTCGGGCCCACTCTGATGCACATTCCAGATGGGCAGGATCCGGTGTCCTGCCAAGCCCATGTCAATGAGGTCATCAAAACCATCATCATTAACCACGAGGGCATCTTCCCCAGCCACAGAGAGCTGGAAGGACCTGTCTACGAGAAGTGCATGACTGGAGGGGAAGAGTACTGGTAAGGAGCAGGGACAGGACTTCATTGTTTGCAGAACTTCAAGCCAGATCCCCTCGTTAGGGTTGTCCTCTGGCACTCTGAAGAGTGAAACTGTGACAAAATGCAGAGCTTTGGCTTGATTCCTGGTAGACAGAGAATTGACTCCAGCTCCCACGAGTGTAGGAGAAGGGCTGTGGGGAGCAGATCCCTGAGAGGGAGGGTGTGAGGAGAGCTTGGGGGAGGTTCAGGCTTAATGTTCGGGGCAGCTGGGCCTAGGCTGAGCACAGTGCTGGGGTGAATTTGCGCCTGTGCAGAAGGGGCATGCCTTTTTACATTTATTCCTGTTAAACGTTATGAAGTAGGTGTGCAAGTGATATGTATTTGATATGCTTGTGCTGGTTTACGCTGGTTAAGACTCTTACTCTGTACCTGGCTGTCTGCGTCGTTCTTGGTTATAAATGCCTTCATAAAACGAGGAGGATTTTGCACACCTAACCAATTAGTCTCCACTTAGATACATCAGTTTTGCTTCGGATTTTAGCCTTGCCAGACCAAGCATTTCTCTCTGACTCAGCATTATACACCTCAGTAACAACTTCAGGAGAAACTTTGTTCCAGAATGAATGTTGATATTTATGAAAATTATTTTACCTGCAGATTCACAGAAGTGTGTTCAGAGTGAAACAGAATTTTAGATCAATTCTAACCAAACTCCTCCTGGGCTGGAATTTTTGAGTAGAGTCCCATAGTTCCATCATAATTTGCTAGTTGGATGAACTCCATGAGGCCAAAGTTAACCTGAACCTTCCAGTTCCTTTTGTTTGGTCAGTGTTAGAAGACAGATGAGTTTGCGTTAGCCATGGATGGGATCAGCCGTGTGCAATTGCATCACATCGCATCTTTCTGGTGCACAATTCACCCTACTTGGTATACCCAGGATAGGAAAACTCCGTAAACAAACACTGACATTGGCAGAGTAAGTGATGTTACGCATTTGTCTGGAGAATACTGGAATTCTAAACCGACGTTCAGATCTGAGTTTTAACAAACCAGGATTTATAACAGACTTGAACTGATTTGTGTGCAAGTTTTACACATTTCTGAGACCTAATCTTGCCTGACACTGATCACCTGCCACCACCCTGACTGATGCTAAAATTCATTGTGAATAAGTGGAACGTTTTAACTTGGTATCCGTTTATATTTGTTTTGCCAAATATGAGTAAGATACACGAGCGCCAGAATGTGACGTTCTGGGCCTGAAGATCATTGGTGCGAGTGTCTGCTCTTCTCAAAGCAAGTTCAGAGAACTTGATTTAAAATTACCATCTCAGTTCTGTAAAAACTAAAACCATAACTCTTTCAAGTGTCAGTGGGGCCAGAATTTCCCTCAAGAACATACTTTTGCTCAGTGCCTTGGGAACAGAATCTCTTTCTTTCTTTTAAAGTGTGGTGTATTTTATTTCAGTGACAGCCCGCACAGCGAGCCAGGCACCATCGATGAAGTTGACCATGACAACGGCACGGAGCCACACACCAGCGATGACGGTGAGCGCAGACGTGAGCACCCGAAAATCGGGTCTGTGTTAGAAGAGCCGTGCACGCAGGAAAGCAGTGTGCCCTTCACTCCTCATCAGATATGGGGCTGGACTAGTGTCTGGCACTTTCGTGGGGGACGATGTTTTTCTGTGCTTAGCAATGAATATGCGTATTAATGAATGCTGTGTATAGGTTTTCATCATAGGATGTGCCTGCACCTTTGCAGTGGTCTGACTCCATGGCAGGATAGAGGGGTTGGTTTTTTGGAGCTCTTCTGTGAGAGTCCATTAATCCCACATGCGATTTTCTTTTTCCCTTCTCCTTGTCATCTGTGCTTCTGTGCAGCCGTGCGACGGTGAGGATGCGCTCTGTGAAATGGCTCACGAGAACAGGAGGGGAGATGGGAGGCTGACATGGGGGGACCAGCTCTGTTTGCTGTGGGCCCTTGGATACGTTGGGGGGAAAGCAGTGACCGTCGGTGGCCACATCGGGGGCCCTCTGCAGTGAGGGGGTCTTCCAGCTCATTTCATTAGGCTGTGCATCATCCACTGCCCAGCAGCCATCTCCTTGGCAGAAACTAAATGCCTCTGTGTTCAAGCAAGCTGCAGCCTGCTTTTCCCCGCAGCTAGTTCTGTTTCCTTGGTTGACAAAGTACCCGCCTGCTCATTTTTGCTCGTGTCAGGCCCGTGGAGCTGCCTGGCTTCGGAGGGCGAAGCAGGACGTGTTGTGAGCCAGGACCGTGCGGACGGGTGCAGCCGGGTGTGAATCCCGTGCAATGGGGTGTGTCATCAGTGTTTCATAACCCTCTGGAGGAGGCTCAGGTCCAGCTTTCCATGAGCGTGTGTCTGCCTGCCCTTCTCTGCAAACCAGCTCACAGTTTCACGTACACGCTCTCAGTAGAGGCTCTGAGGCTCACAAAGGTGAGCGTGGAAACGGGGCTGGCAGAGCTGGGCAAGAAGCACGTTCACTCCAGGGCGCAGTACCGAAGCAGGAGGAAGCGCTGTGCTCCCCACGGCCCGGAGGCACCGGCAGCTCAGCCCGGGGCGGGTGCGGGAGACCCCACTGGCACTGCTGGGGGGCTGTGAGCGTGCAACCTGCCACAACCCGCCTAATGGCAGGACTATGCTGTGTGGAAGGGCACTGGGCAGCTGAATGCCTCAGCTTTCCTGATGGCCGCTGTTTCCTCGGATGCGTCCTGCCTGACAGAACGCCACTGCCTTCTGAGGAGAGCTCGCCTGGCTGGTGGGCACCACGGGGAGGAGGGGAAGGGCACAGCTGGGCCGGACAGCTCAGGACCTGCTTTCGGCTACAAACAGGAGCCGACAGGACTGGAAGATGAAGGAGAGCAAGCTGCCATTTAGCTAATTTTATGCTTGGGTGGTCACATTAATAGCTGTGATTGGAGTTTCTGGGTGATTAACTGTGGTGCAAGTGTAGAGGAGAGGAGCAGCTTTATTTTGTGAATTTACATATTCCTTATTCCCCTCTCCCTCACGCCGTGCACCCTCCCTGCTGGGAAACTCGATATTTTATCAGGGCTGTGAAACCCTCTGGGTAGCCTCCCCCAGTGCAATCCCCGTTGACCCTGCGGTAGGATCTCAAACACCCTGCCGCTCGTTTTGGTGCAGATGTGTATTTTAAGCTGGGGAAAACCAGTTCTGCTGAAGTGACCTGTCCCGTCCCACATGAGGCGAGAAAGGGGGCAGGGCTCTGATTCAGCATCTCCCTCATCTTCCTCCGGAGTCTCCTCCTCTGTGTGGATTTTGTCCCCGAGCAGAGCAATGGGTCACATCCTGATGTCTGCTGATGCCAAGCCTGCGGTTAGTGATGAGGCAGACAGAGCAGAGCAAGTTTCCATGTTTTAATGAAAACGTGACAGATCTAGAGGAACTGGGTGCACTCGCCCTGTTTAGCTTTGTCATCGCTCGTCTGCCCGTCTCCAGGTGGGGTTTAAAATGATCGGGTGTTTCAAATAATCAAGGTACGTTAACTGCTGGCTGGCTCCAACAGTGGCCAGAGGTGGTTGAGTGGTGGCAGCCTGCTTTTTCACCCCAGTCTTGGAGTGAGGTGAGGTGGAGTGCAGTTTGCTCCTGCCAGCGTGGAGAGAAATGCTGTTGCTGGCTTGCAATCGCTGCAGCGCTTCCTCTGGGATTCAGTGCTCCCAGCTGGGAACAGACTTGCAGAAGAGCTGGGCTCCTCCATGCGCTCCTCAGTGTCAGCCAGGCTCCCCTTTGGGTGCACCAGCCGCTCGCGCTGTCGTGCCCTTGGCCAGGGGCTCAAAGGCTCCTGGTGTGCTCCCGACCGCCCAAAGAGAAGTCCTTCCTCAGCCCTCTTGAATTTCAGGCCCTGAGCTCCCAATTTGTGAATCCCTGGTGTTTGGTAGAGCTTAAATTAGAAAAAGCAGAGAAGTGGGGAGATTGAGTGCTGGAAGGTCTGCAGATATGGGGGGGTGATGTAAGCAGCTGCCTGCCCAGGGCTGCTAGCATCGTTTCTATGGGGATCCCCAAAGGGGGTTCATTACTCATCAATAATTCAGGCCAAACTGTCTCCAGGATAAGGAAAGGAAGGGAAGGGAAGTGGGACTTTGATCACAGTATCTGACACAGCTTAACAAGATCCCAGTCTGGAGGATAATGGGGTTCTGTAACCGAAGAAATCACTTATGGGTAGAAAATGGGAGTGTAGGTGCCGATGCCATATGCACACGGGGAAATTTCAACTACTCCCCATCTGGCTTGTAGCTTTTTGTAATTACTGGTAGTTTGTGAGTCTGAGAGAGATTCCAGGAAGGCTGGAAGAACAAAAAGAATTGATCAGTCTGAAAGTAAGATGGTTCGTACTCGGTGTAAGATGCTCTGGGGAAGCTAGGGCAGCAGCATTACTGTGTTCTGGTGAGATGTCTCTTTCTAGCGTTTATTGTGCCCTTGTGACTGTTGAACTAAGCTTTTCTCTGTCTGTGCTTCTCTCCTTTGCAGAAGTGGAGCAGATTGAAGCCATAGCAAAGTTTGACTACATTGGACGATCTCCACGAGAGCTCTCCTTTAAGAAAGGGGCCTCGCTCCTCCTGTACCATCGGGCATCAGAAGACTGGTGGGAAGGGAGACATAATGGTGTGGATGGCCTCATACCCCACCAGTACATTGTGGTGCAGGACATGTGAGTAAAGTGGTGTGTGTTGATCCGGGATGTTAAAAATCACATCATTACATGAGGTTCATCTTTAGCCACTTAAAATAGGTGGCCAGATTTTCCCTGATTTAATGACTTTGGTGAGAAATCTGGACCTGTTCACATCTGCCTCTCCATGTATTGGCTCAGATGGTTTCTTGTTCAAGCTGATAAAGCCAAGCACTAAATACTGTACTTCAGGGTGCCCAAACCCCATCTATCATTGACTCCTCAAAGTGGTGTGACCCAGGCTTAATATTGGCCTCGTCCCCTCTGTTTGCTGACCTGGCATTGTTCGGTGCCCGCCTGGCCTGGAGGCAGGTCCTGGGTCCTTCGCAGATGCTATTTCTGATACAAGTACCATGGCCGGATTCATTAAAATGGCAAGTACAGCGCAGGGGGATATGGTGACGCTTTTTCCAAGCCCCAGGTACTGTCTGAAGTGGTGGCCTTGGTCCAGCCTTCTGTTAACAATGTCTGGAGCTGCTGGAGTGGGGATGTCCAGACCCGCGTTGTGGCTGGGCCCTAGCCCCTCTGCTGGGGCACAGCCCTCTTACTGACGGGGTCTCCTTTTCCTAGGGATGATGCATTCTCCGACAGCCTGAGTCAGAAGGCGGACAGCGAGGCAAGCAGCGGACCGCTGCTGGACGATAAAGCCTCCTCCAAGAACGACATCCAGTCTCCGACGGATCACATTGTGGACTATGGCTTTGGAGGAGTAATGGGCCGGTAGGGAAACTCTCATTTTCCTGTGAGCACAGAGGTGGTCGTGTCACGTGTGGGGAGAGTCAGTGTGTGGTGCAGGGCAAGACAGAAGGGAAGGCTCCAGTGAGCACTGCAGAATAATGTGAGCATGGAGGGGGTTTTCACATGCGTTGCTAATGTAGATCTTAACACGTAAAGAAGGTACAATGCTGTCCCTTTCTTGGCACTGGCTAAAATGTCTGTCTTCCCTCTTGCCTTAGTCTTCTGGAGCTGAAAGGCTCGAGTTTGGTTTGATCCGAACTCGCAGAGCTGAGCAATTGTCTTACAGCATGCAACCAGATGCTTTCGATCTGACGGACGGTGACCTAGTCTTGTGATGGATTCTTTGCAGAGTGAGATTGAGGTCTGACGGTGCAGCTATCCCTCGCCGTCGAAGCGGGGGGGACACCCACAGCCCACCCCGAGGGATGGGTCCTGGCATAGACACTCCTCCTCGAGCAGCGGCCTGCCCTAGCAGCCCCCACAAAATACCTCTTAACAGGGGCAGGATTGAGAGTCCTGAAAAGCGCAGAATGGCGACATTCGGCAGTGCAGGCAGCATCAATTTCCCAGACAGAAAGGCCTTGTCTGATGGCCACCCGCTGAGATCGACCTGTGGATCGACTAGACACAGTAGTCTCGGAGATCAGAAATCTCTAGAAGCAGAAGCGCTTGCTGAGGTAAGAGGGTTGTGAAGTGGCTCTCGGTCCCCAGGGATCAAGAGGCTAAAATAAAAGTCACTGGGGTAGCGCTGCAGAGCCCCTTCCATCGCCACACACTTCAGAATTACAGTGCTGTTGTAGCTGCGACAGTTTAAAGATAAAAATGAGCAGCCAACAGCTTCCCTGCTTTTCCAACTGTATTGGTTGGTCCAATAAAAGCTACTGCCTCCTTCCATAAACCTTCTTTCACTGAAACAGTAGACAGAAGCGTTCGATCCACCACCAAAATGCGCTGGCAGCTCTTAGCTCCCGCAGGGAGGGAAGCACGTTATCTTTATCTGATGCTCTGTAAGGAGCTTAGGAGGAGAAAACTGGATTTGCCAAATCAGAATTTGACTGATGCTCAGTGTTGGGAGAAAAGTGCTTCAGGTTTGTTACAGGCTGTTGTAGCTAGGACCTGCAGCCATGCAACATCGTCAGCATCACACTAGGCCATTGGTTCCACAGTGCTCGTTAAATTCATGTTGCGTCCAGCATAGCCTGCAGGTCTCCTCTCCCTACTGCTGGCAGGAGGCCCCCAGCCAGGTGTCTGTCAGGTTATACCAAACCTCTTAACATCTCGGAGAACGCTCCCTTCGTGGAGCAGGCTGTGGAATTCTCCAGCCTCTTGGGGACCACCTAGTTCAAGCACAGTCCCCGCAGATCTGTCTGAACGGCCGCAGGTCGGGCTGTTTTGGGGCCTGGGGGCCAGGAGCACCATGGATGGGCTGTTCACCGTCCCCTATTTCAGCAGTTTCCAGGCAGTTTGCTTCGTGCCACCTCTGGTGGGAGCAGCAGCTATGGGACGGTTGGTGATGCCCCTGCAGAGGGGTGCAGCTGCTGGGGAGCCCGCTGCCCACCGCCTGGCAGAAGCTCGTGTGCCGCAGGGTTCGGCAGGCTGTTGTATGTCGAATCAGCTGCTTGCAGGGGGATAATGAATGATGATTGCAGAAAGGAGGAACTCTCACTGTCCTGTTTGCTTTTCCACCAGCCACGCTCCTTGTTCTCTTGCTCTGCAGCACGCTACCCAGCTTCTCTGTCCATCAAGAGCTTGTGTTTGGTGTGATCAGTTTACGAAGTCATAGCGCAGCGTGTGCCCTGAGCGACATCTCGAGCCGGGGCACCGCGTCCGCCTTGGGCCGGGACAGCAGCACGCACCACGTCCCCGG